TGATATTTTTGCCAATTCTTCTTTGAAAAATATCTGAAGCTCTGTCAGATTGGATGGAGAGCATTTATGAACAGCAATTTTCAAGTCTTGCCACAGATTTTCAATTGGATTTAGGTCTGGACTTTGACTGGGCCATACTAACACATGAATATGCTTTGATCTAAACCATTCCATTGTAGCTCTGGCTGTATGTTTAGGGTTTTTGTCCTGCTGGAAGGTGAACCTCAGCCCCAGTCTTAAGTCTTTTGCAGACTCTGCCAGGTTTTCTTCTAACAGTGCCCTGTATTTGGCTCCATCCATCCTCCCATCAACTCTAACCGGCTTCCCTGTCCCTGCTGAAGAAAAGTATCCCCACAACATGATGCTGTAGCAATTGTACGTACAAAAATGGACGCGAACATCCATTTTGGTAAAGACCCTCCCTCTCTGTTGAGTGACACATGGTCCTTGTTTGCTGGGTTCAGAAGTGCACAGGACACAGTTGGATATCCTTCATGGTTGTAAACCCAATTAGCTGATGCCAGGGTGTCTGGCAAACTCTTGCTCTGAAGCTGATCGTAAAGCCATAAACCCGGCAGTCACTGGACTTCAAAAGCATTCCAGGATAGCAGTAAAACATAAATCCCATGTGAAAACACTTTTTCATACAATTTTGTAATTTCTCGTAGGTAATACATACCATAAAGCAAAACATATATTCAGATTGGTCATTTTATCACCTGATATCTTACACCCCTAGTTAAAGTCTACAGGAGAGTAGGAAGCCATATAGTTCTAGCTGAAATAGTAAAATATGGCTTATTTGATGTTTGGATGTTCAGGATATCATTCTGCATATTAATCTACTAGTGGCTAGGCTGCTACATGTACCTAGGAAGGGTTATTGACCATGATATAAACTGTGAGGGATTTGGTCATAGCCTGAGTTCCCCACCTAAAACACCCCTCCCCAAATGAGGCGATTCGTTCTCTGCTTTAAGGAGACACCTTGCTGGGTTCCTAGAAAAAGGCTGTTATGCTTGGAGCAGTAAGTTGAAGAATTCTCCCTTTTTAACATCAGGAACCAACTTTGGGAGAAAAGGCACCCTTTTGCTCTGACACTTAAACGCTGCTTAAACCAAGGCTGACGGCAAGTATTCTACTTCTCTAAACTTCTTTCTGTTATCTCTCTGATGTGGTATTGCTCTCTGTTTTTATATATATATATATATATATATATATATATATATATAGGCTACATCTTTTTCTGTAAATACTTTTATTTCACCATTTTGACCTTTTTAGTAATAAATCTTATTTTCTGAAAAATGTTGAACTGTTTCTAAAGCTCTTTAATGCAAACAAATAATCCCTATCTCTGAAGAGCACTACTGTGTGTTTTAAAAACTTCTGCATACATCTGCCTGCGGTGACAGTGGTATACAGACGATTATTCAAACATCATAGTGTTACTGCTAAGATTGGCGAGTTTCCTCTATCACTGTACAAAAAGGAGGTGTTGGCAGTGTGAAGGGTTAATTGCGTAATTAACCTGACCAAGTAACAATCGCTCTCAGGCTGCGGTACATAGATTGCGGTCCATTAGCTGGAAAATCGTTGTGCAGGGTGCCACTGAGCGTGGTATTGTTACGCATGTGACAGCGCGCTTTTAGATTGGCTAGTCCTTCAGTCACGAGTTGGTGAGAAGGGCTGGGGGTCTGACGCCGCGTCCGTCACAGATGATGCCACGTTTCACAGTGGGGATGGTGTGTTCAGGGTGATGTGCTTTTAGGTCAAAAAGTTAAATGTTGGTCTCATCTGACCAGAGCACCTTCTTCCACATATTTGCTGTGTCCCCAACATGGCTTCTCGCAAACTGCAAACAGGACTTCTTATGGCTCCATTTTAACAATGACTTTCTTCTTGTCACTCTTTCATAAAGGCCAGATTTGTGGAGTGCACGACTAATAGTTGTCCTGTAGACAGATTCTCCCACCTGAGCTGTGAATCTCTGCAGCTTCTCCAGAGTTATCATGGGCCTCTCGGCTGCTTCTCTGATTAATGCTCTCCTTACCCGACCTGTCAGTTTAGGTGGACGGTTACGTCTTAGTAGGTTTGTAATTGTGCCATACGCTTTCCAATTTCGGATGATGGATTGAACAAGTTTGGGATATATATATATATATATAGTTATTTTTTTTTTTTTATAACCTAACCTAGCTTTAAACCTCTCCACAACTTTATCCCTGACCTGTCTGGTGTGTTACTTGGTCTTCATGCTGCGGTTTGTTCACTAATGTTCTCTAACAAACCTTTGCGGGCTTCACAGAACAGCTGTATTTTATACTGAGATTAAATTATATACAGGTGGACTCTATTTACTAATTAGGTGACTTCTGAAGGCAATCGGCTCAACTAGATTTTAGTAAGAGGTATCGTATCAGAGTAAAGGGGGCTGAATACAAATGTACGCCACACTTTTCAGATATTTGTAAAAAAGTTTGAAAACCATGTATCAATTTCATTCCACTTGACAATTATGTGCCACTTTGTGTTGGTCGATCAAATAAAATCCCACTAAAAACTACCTTTATGTTTTTAGTTGTCACATGACAAAATGTGGAAAATTTCAAAGGGTATGAATACTTTTTAAGGAACTGTAATTCTTTACCGAATATGCAGCTTCGTTTTCTTTTAATCCTTACCTATGATCTAATTTAAGCTGGTGCCTTGACTGCTGCCCAAGGTTTTCTGTTTCAGAGTGGCTCCTTTTTCTTGCAGCATCCTGTGGAGCCACACTTGCATGTAAGGACTAGAGTTGTGTCTCGTTTACACTGTGTACATCAAAAGAAAAACCACAGTAGGGGAAGTTACTAAAAATTGAGCACACAGAATCTGGTGCAGCTCTGCATGGTAACCAATCAGCTTCCAGGTTTTATTGTCAAAGCTTAACTGAACAAGCTGAAGTTAGGAGAGGATTGGTTACTGTGCACAGCTACACCAGATTCTGTGTGTTCCAGTTTTTGTAACCTCCCCCACAGCCTTGTAGCCTAGGATGAAAAGGCATTTTCCTGCTCCTCCCTACCCTTTTCCAAGCTAACAGACTGGCTCCAGACTGCACTGCCTACTGCTAGCATTTTCCTGTGAAGACCACAGACCGTTAGACATGGCCTGACATGGCGTTTCATTACAAATAAAAACGTCAGGGGAAATAGAAGCTTCCATTTTCCCTGATGATGTTATTTGTAATGAAACGCCATGTCGGGCAGGCAGGGTACAGTGTCTGAGATTGTGTTCATGCAGGCGCTGGTTACTCATGCCAGTAATGCCAAATTTAATTGCAAGTATTTTTTAATGTTTGCTGATTTTGCACACAAACTTTGTTTGAAAGTGTATTTACCAAGATGAAGTAGCAGTTTTTAAACACTATCATGCTATATGCAGTGTGCTTTTCTTAACCACTTCCAGTCCGGACACTTTTACCCCCTTCTTGTCCAGGACAAATTTTCAGCTTTCAGAGTTGTCATACTTTGAATGACAATTGCGCGGTCATGCAACACTGCCCCCATATGAATTTTGTAGCATTTGTTTTTTGAGACAGATAAAACTTTATTTTGGTGGTATTTATTCACCACTGGGATTTTTATTTTTTTGCTATATAAATGAAAAAGTCCAAAAATGTTGAAAAAAAAAAAAAGTGTTTTCCTTATACAATTTTGCAAATAAAGAATCTTTCTATATAAATCTTGGCCAAAATGTATTCAGCTATCTTTTTAGTAAAGAAAAATAACTCAAATTAGTTTATAACCAAAACTTATAATTTTTCTAAAATGTTTTTTAATTTTTTTATATTATTATTTTTTTTTAACATACTATCACTCTAGCAGTACAGTGTCACCATAGTGACACTGTACTACTTGTGGGGGATGATGACATTTTTTTTCACACTGATTGGCCAATCAGTGATCACATGATCGGGACCTCACACAGAGGTCCTGTACAGCAATTGGTGTCCTCAGGACACAGTGGCCACCAGATCGTGGTGCCGTGCACTGCCAGGGAGCGCGCACATGCTGAAATTGCGGGCACCATTTATGAACGGCAACCTGCTCCTGCACTGCTCCCGTCCGGCCGTTTATGTACATGGGCTGGATGGGAAGTGGTTCAGGATATGGTATGTGTGGTGCCCTGAGTGGCTGAATACCTGCAGTCCCACAGTCCTGTGGTGTCAGACATATGCCCTGGAAACCATCCATATGGTTCCTGTGAATTGTCCATGAAATCCTGAGAAAGACATCTGAGCGGGTCTGGAGCAGGAAGGAGCATGGAACGGTGGTATAACAAGCGCTTCTTGTGATATAGGGTTATATTTTAGGGTAAGGAGTTTGGCTAGCTTTTCTGGTGGTTGTGACTGGATTGGTTTGCATGTATCCTGGCACAAGAGAATTTAGATATTTTGTTGACTTTTTTTTTCCACTTTATTATTATGAATATAAAAAGGACCTTTTTTGAGACAATTTCAAACATAAACTACCTATGTTTGAGAACACAGAAGATTGCACTTTACATCAGGGTGGATACAAATCGAAGATTGAAAACAAAACAAAACAAAACAAAACAAAAGCACACGGATTGTTTATCAAATTTATTTTAATAAAATGCTTTTGGAGTAAAAATCCATCTATCTAAAGATAGTTTTCTATTTAAGATACATTAATAACTTAGTTTATTCAGCATGAAATGGAGCTTAGTTATGTAGCACGAGGCTGTATATTCTGCAATATATGTATTTTTAGAAAATCAATGAATCCAAGCTCTGCAAGCTGAGATAACATGCACTGCATTGATGCATTCACACACTTTCACAGTAACCATGAGAAAAAACATGAAATCAAAGAATTTGAGTACCGTATTTTTCGCTCCATAAGACGCACTTTTTTCCCCCCAAAAAAGGGGGGAAAATGTCAGTGCGTCTTATGGAGCGAATATAAAGCGGCCGGTCTGGTATTTCTGCTGCCACCATGTCAGAATACCAGGCCGGCCGCTCAGCTGTTATCTCCTGCAGGGCCTTACCTGTTCCTCGCTCCAGCGCTGCACAGTCTTCCCGCGCTGGCTTCTGTGACAGCCGGGTGTCCACTGCGCATGTGCTGCGCTTTGTGAATGATCCGGTGTCTTCTGGGACACATGAAAGGTCCCAGAAGGCTCCGGGCCATTCACAAAGCGCAGCACATGCGCAGTGGACACCCGGCTGTCACAGAAGCCGGCCCGGGAAGAAGAGGGAAGGACAACTCCACAGAAGTGGGAGCGGGTGCCTGTCAAATTCAGGTACCCGCTCCCCCTTCCTCCCCCAAAGGTCCGCAGTCTCTGGTCATTCCCTGCACTGTCCGCAGTCTCTGGTCATTCCCTGCACTGTCCGCAGTCTCTGGTCATTCCCTGCACTGTCCGCAGTCTCTGGTCATCCCCTGCACTGTCCGCAGTCTCTGGTCATCCCCTGCACTGTCTGCAGTCTCTGGTCATCCCCTGCACTGTCTGCAGTCTCTGGTCATTCCCTGCACTGTCTGCAGTCTCTGGTCATCCCCTGCACTGTCTGCAGTCTCTGGTCATTCCCTGCACTGTCTGCAGTCTCTGGTCATCTCCTGCACTGTGTCCGCAGTCTCTGGTCATCTCCTGTGCTGTCCGCAGTCTCTTGGTCATCCCCTGCGCTGTCTGCAGTCTCTGGTCATTCCCTGCGCTGTCTGCAGTCTCTGGTCATTCCCTGCGCTGTCTGCAGTCTCTGGTCATTCCCTGCGCTGTCTGCAGTCTCTGGTCATTCCCTGCGCTGTCTGCAGTCTCTGGTCATTCCCTGCGCTGTCTGCAGTCTCTGGTCATTCCCTGCGCTGTCTGCAGTCTCTGGTCATTCCCTGCGCTGTCTGCAGTCTCTGGTCATTCCCTGCGCTGTCTGCAGTCTCTGGTCATTCCCTGCGCTGTCTGCAGTCTCTGGTCATTCCCTGCGCTGTCTGCAGTCTCTGGTCATTCCCTGCGCTGTCTGCAGTCTCTGGTCATTCCCTGCGCTGTTTGCAGTGTCTGGTCATTCCCTGCACTGTGTCCGCAGTCTCTGGCCATCTCCTGCACTGTGTCCGCAGTCTCTGGCCATCTCCTGCACTGTGTCCGCAGTCTCTGGTCATCTCCTGCACTGTGTCCGCAGTCTCTGGTCATCTCCTGCACTGTGTCCGCAGTCTCTGGTCATCTCCTGCACTGTGTCCGCAGTCTCTGGTCATCTCCTGCACTGTGTCCGCAGTCTCTGGTCATCTCCTGCACTGTGTCCGCAGTCACTCTCTGGTCATCTCCTGCACTGTGTCCGCAGTCTCTGGTCATCTCCTGCACTGTGTCCGCAGTCTCTGGTCATCTCCTGCACTGTGTCCGCAGTCTCTGGTCATCTCCTGTAGTATGTCTGCAGTCTCTGGTCATCTCCTGTAGTATGTCCGCAGTCTCTGGTCATCTCCAGTACTGTGTCCGCAGTCTCTGGTCATCCCCTGTACTGTGTCTGCAGTCCATTGGTTCAGAATATTTTTTTTCTTGTTTTTCGCCTCTAAAACCTAGGTGCGTCTTATGGTCAGGTGTCAGTGTATGGAGCGAAAAATACGGTAGTTCTCCAGCTATGTGTTATTAACCTAAAAGCTGTTCTGATATCGCTGTACTACTAACCATGACAGCTTATTATCCTAAAAAGGAAACCTTCATTTGGTTTGCAATTATTAAAGATTCTAACTACCAGCAAGAATAAGTCGGATTCCTTACATTTAAAGAGCACCTGTCATTTAAGATCCATCATGGCAGCGCCTGTTAGCAGGCATCCACTCACCTCCTGCCGCCACGTCCCTCACCTTGTGTCACTGCCGCATCACCAGCCCTCCCATTAAAGGGAATGGGACTGTCAGTGAGTCAATAGGGGGGTAGAGGAGCCGCTGCAGGACAGAGATGACAATTGCTCTTTAAAAATTATGATTTAAAATAGAGGCTTTTCACTAATGATTTAAATCAAATGCACCCTGCTTTACATGGTTTCAGATTATTAATATCTGTATGTGTGTATTTATGTTGGCAGCTTTCGGTTTACATTTTATTTAATACGGAGTTGTGATATAGAACACATTTTCACACATCGTGGGTAGGTTTTTGCGCTTATTAGCGGAGAGGTTTTTTTTTTGCTTTTTAATATTCTAATATCTGCTTGTGTACAGTTCAAGTGCTGTGTATTCTGTTTACAGAACAATAGTGTTTCTGTTGTAGTTCTGCAGTGTCTATATGTACCACTGACACTGCAGAACACTTAATTGATTATGCGCTTATCTGCACACGCAGTTAAAAGAAACCTGCACTCAGTGATCCCCTTGTCACAAGGACCAGCTTTGGGTTGTATATGACCTAACTGTTATTCCTATTTCTATAACTGGTTGCTGCACTGCTACAACCCCAATTCCAAAAAAGTTGGGGCACAGTGTAAAACATACATAAAAAAACAGAATGCACGGATTTGTAAATTATTATTATACAGGATTTATATAGCCTCTCTGAAGAGAAGGATTTCCAGGATTATTATCTTACAGGATTTATATAGCGCCAACAGTTTGCTCAGCACCTTACAATATAACGGGAGACAATACAGCAACAATACAGTTCAATACAAGAGGGATAGGAGGGCCCTGCTCCTTGGAGCTTACAATCTAAGAGATGAGCTGATGGAGAAAATAAAAGTACAGTTGTTAGGTGGAGGCACTTAGGCCTCTCTGTCCACTTTTTAGACGCTCCCTGAAAACCCTTCTCTTCAGAGTAGGAAACAGTCAGACACATTGGGGTCAGGATTTCCAGAGGATGTTACAGGCTGGGGAGAAGTTCTGGAGAGGAGCATGGGAGGAGTTCACAAGGCAGCAAGAGAGCAGGAGGTCTTGGCACAAATGAAGAGAGAGATTTGGTTGGTATTTTGAGACTAGGTTAGTGATGTAGCTGGGGGCACTTGTGCAGTTGTGGAGGGCTTTGTATGTTTTTGTAGTACATTATTTTTCGCTCCATAAGACGCACTGTTTTCCCCCCAAAAAAGGGAGGAAAATGTCAGTGCGTCTTATGGAGCGAATATAAAGCGGCCGGTCCGGTATTTCTGCCGCCACCATGTCAGAATATCGGGCCGGCTGCTCAGCTCCTCTCTCCTGCAGGACCTTACCTGTTCCTCGCTCCAGCGCTGTACAGTCTTCCCGCGCTGGCTTCTGTGACAACCGGGTAACCACTGCGCATGCGCAAGAAGCGCTGCGCTTTGTGAATGGTTCGAAGTCTTCTGGGGCACGACAGGTCCCAGAAGGCTCCGGGCCATTCACAAAGCGCAGCGCTTCTCGCACATGCGCAGTGGGCACCCGGCTGTCACAGAAGCCGGCGCGGGAACGAGGGAAGGACAACTCCACGGACGTGGGAGCGGGTACCTGTCAAATTCAGATACCCGCTCCCCCTCCCTCCCCAAAGGTCCGCAGTCTCTGGTCATCCCCTACTGTCCGCAGTCATCTGTGTCCGCAGTCTCTGGTCATCCCCTGTACTGTGTCCGCAGTCTCTGGTCATCCCCTGTACTGTGTCCGCAGTCTCTGGTCATCCCCTGTACTGTGTCCGCAGTCTCTGGTCATCCCCTGTACTGTGTCCGCAGTCGCTGGTCATCCCCTGTACTGTGTCCGCAGTCGCTGGTCATCCCCTGCACTGTGACCGCAGTCGCTGGTCATCCCCTGCACTGTGTCCGCAGTCGCTGGTCATCCCCTGCACTGTGTCCGCAGTCGCTGGTCATCCCCTGCACTGTGTCCGCAGTCGCTGGTCATCCCCTGCACTGTGTCCGCAGTCGCTGGTCATCCCCTGCACTGTGTCCGCAGTCGCTGGTCATCCCCTGCACTGTGTCCGCAGTTCTCTGGTCATCTCCTGTACAGTGTCCGCAGTTTCTGGTCATCTCCTGTACAGTGTCCGCAGTTTCTGGTCATCTCCTGTACAGTGTCCGCAGTTTCTGGTCATCTCCTGTACTGTGTCTGCAGTCTCTGGTCATCCCCTGTACTGTGCCCGCAGTCCATTGGTTCAGAATATTTTCTTTCTTGTTTTTCTCCTCTAAAACCTAGGCACGTCTTACGGTCAGGTGCATCTTATGGAGCGAAAAATACGGTATTTTGAATTTAATTCGTTGGCTGAGTGCAGCTAATGGAGGGATTGGCAGAGAAGGGTGACAGACACTGAGCAGTTTGTAAGGTGGATGAGTCTGGCAGCAGCATTCATGATGGACTGAAGAGGGGATAGCCTATGTAAAGGTAATCCAATGAGGAGGGAGTTGCAGTATGTGAGGTGAGAGGCAACCAGGGAGTGAATTAGGAGCTTTGTGGTGTCATTGGTTAGGAAGGGGCGTACTTTAGAGATGTGATGGAGGTTGATGAGGAAGGCTTTGGTTGTTAATCTATCCTTATTATCCTATCCTTTCTATCCTGTCCAAACCTTGTAGACTTCACCTCCGTACATTTCCAAAATATGCCCCTTTTTAACCACTGAAACCACTAAGCAACTTATTCACTCCCTTGTTAATTCTTGCCTTGACTATTGCAACTCCTTCCTCATTGGCATACCTAATTGCAGGCTATCCCCTCTTCAGTCTTCCATGAATGCTGTTGCCAGACTCATCTACCTTACCAACTGTTCCATGTCTGCCATCACTCTCTGGCAATGGGAAGCCAGTGGAGGGATTGGCAAACAAATAAAATTCAAAACATTAACAATAATATATAAAGTCATTTACAACTCTGCCCCAAATTACATCACCAATCTTGTCTCCAAATATCACACAAACTGTCCTCTCCACTTCTCCCAGGACCTCCCATCTCCCTTGTCTCCAGGACTTCTCCTGAGCCTCCCCCATCCTCTGGAACTCTCTACCCCATTCTGTCCAACTATCGTCTACTCTGTCCACTTTTAGGCAATCCCTGAAAACATCTCTCTTCAGGGAAACCTATCCTGCCTTCAGCTAATAACAGAATCTTCTATTTCTCCCATCAATTTATCCCCCCACAGTTATTCTCTTTTGTTCCACCAGCCCCTCCCTCTTAGATTGTAAGCTCCAAGGAGCAGGGCCCTCCTAACCCTCTTGTATTGAACTGTATTGTTGCTGTATTGTCTCCCTTTATATTGTAAAGAGCTGAGCAAACTGTTGGCGCTGTATAAATCCTAAATAAGAATAATACCTTACAGTATCTGAGCATAGATAAGCATCAAAAGGAGTCTTATGATGTGAAAGCACATTGTGAAAAAAATAATGGGACAACCCAGGTGCCTGCAGTTTGCCTTAAAATCCTTTCAACTGGTTTTTTAAATTTTTGAAGAAAGAAAAGAAAAAAAAAAAGTACAAAAATAGCTGTTGATCTTGCCAGTACTGCAGTATAATAATTGTGTAGTCCCACAAATCCCTACTCTAAAGGAGATGAAGAACATGATGTGCAGATGCTGAGGGGCAGGAAATCTGTTATTCAGATTAGTTACACCAACACATTTGGTTGTTTACACAGCTCATGGGTATGGCTTATTATTTTATGCAGGATGGAGTGGACTGGACAATAAATTGATCTTTTATGATCTGTTGACATTAACACAGGGAGCTTGATATACAGTATATGTGGGCAAGCCCAGCAAGGGAAATATTTTAGAGGTTTTAAAATGCGTCTAGTATGTGAATATATTTTTATACAATTAAAAGTGATCCATTGATACAAAATGATCTTATTTATTGTTTCACGTGTCAAAATTTTATTGTAACTACAGATTTTGGATTATGTTGTATTAATGCTCTTCAGAATCATCTTCAGTGGAGGAGTTTAAAGATAAACTACAGTCATTGTTAGAAAAATTAAGTCAGCCGATACAAATAATGTAGCTGCTAACTTTAACAGACAGACACTTAGCCCAGTTGTCGAGCACGGTCTTCACCCAGGCCAAACTTCACCAGTCTATGGATCCCCAGAGCTGCCATCTTGACTGTGGAAAGCCAGCTGTGACACACTGATCCTTTCAAGGCCAGCTCCCCATGGGGCATGCATGGGATGCACTGTGCTTTCAAGAATAGTCCCAAAGCCTCAGGTTGCCGGAGGGGAGGGCAACCTTCCACAATTTTTGCCTAGGCAAGAAATGCAGACGTTGGAGTGGGTACCCGACAGAAAAAGGTACCTGTTCCCAAAGAAAAAAAAAAGTTCCAATAACGGCAGGGGGTGAAGTATATGAGGAGGATAAGCAAAACTTCCACTTTTAAATGAAGATCTGGTTAATTATTTTAATTGTTTAGAATTTGTGAAACATTTCAATGAACACATAGGATAGCTATGCAACTACGCAGTTTATTATATACAGCAGACATAATATATTGATGTTGTACCCCAAATGTTATACATTTATTTGCAGTATTAACTGTTGAAAATAAAAGGAAAAGAAGTCTGAAAAGAGAAAACGAATGCGGCCACTACAGCCAAGTACGGATTAGCTACAATAAATTACATTTCTGGGTATAGATATTAACCCTTTGAGGACCGTAAGATTTTGGAACGCCAAAAGAATCAATTTTTTTGTTTTTAAAGTTTGTACACTTTAGTTGCTGTAACTAAGCCATTTCATTAAAATAATTGGCAAAAAACTAGATCCATTTGTTGTTTGTTGATAAGAAACTAATATTTTGACTCAAACCAAAAAAAAAAAAAAAAAAAAAAAAAAAAAAAAAAAGGAGTTTTAAGTTCTTAATCAGATGATACACGCAATTAAAAACATGGGACAAATACGTCCCTTGGTCCTCAAAGGGTTAAAAGAATAAGCATTTTTTCACCTGAACTCATTCAGGGTTGAAGTGGAACTTTAGGCTACAATATGAAAATGGGCAGACAGGCAGGATTTTGAATGAAGAAGAGAACAGTTACTATCCTCCCCTCCTTGTTTGCAGAGGGGAGGCGAGAGTAGGGTGGTAGGTCTATCAGGATCAGGTGCGAGGCTTGCAAGGTGCTGTGTATTTGAATAAATCCATACAGCTCTGGCCGGGATCATGCACACACGGATGTCTCCTTACTAGCTGCCTAGCTATAAGACACACGCTCAAATCAGAACAGCAGGGGCAGTGGTTCAGGGACTGGCCAGACCATAAAAAGAAAGGAATGTACATTTAAAACCCTCACCTTGTAAAAACAACCCATTTAGTTTAAAATAGAAATGAACGATAAAACATTTGTGTATACATATAAAAAAAAATTAAATAAAACATGTTTTAAATACCCCCCCCCCCCTTTTTATTTTTTTATATAAGTGATCACATTCCGTCTGTTCTCAGCTGCATATGAGCTGGGGAGGAAAAAACAGCAGTACACTGATCTTCCCAGTGAATGGCTAGGCAGGGGACACAGCATAGCTAGAGAACTGACCATGCTGTTCTTTCATACCTAGTGTGGTCAGTTATTTTTATAGAAAAGCAGGGGGACTGGCAGGAACACCATGGACTTCACACAAAGGAAACATATGAAAAAAAAATATCCTGTTCTCTTTCTATAAAGTACATGGTACAGCAGGCACATATCAGGAATATGAAATATTGGGATTAGATAATTTTTATTTAAATTTCCATAGAATACAAAAAAAAAATATAGGGTTTAATATCACCAAGTCTTCCCACTTCTATTGGCTATGGCTAGGCTTTAACTATTGTTTAGACGCACATAACCTGTTATCTTCAAACACTATAACAAAGAAAAAGCAACTGATCTGGATCCTGACTCACAGTGTTGACGAACCACCAAGCTAAAGCCAAGAAATGCATTTTGCAAAAAAATTGGCAGCAGAAAGAACATATCACTTCCCAGTTGTGAAATGTGCTGGTAGTTTACACATAAATAATAAATGTCATATTGGGATTTATTTACTGTAACCAGTGAAGTGTCAGAGCAACTGCTGGAGCCAGAAACAAACAGCTAATACTGGCCCCAAAAGGTAGTTTGTGTTCCAGATTTTAACTGTAATTTCTGAGGATGGGAACAAAAAACTGCACCAAAAGAAGATTTATCAGAATAACACAATCCAAAGGGCTACTCAATATGCAGGATATCACTTTAAACAGTCTGCCAAAAAAAAACAAAAAAAAAACCCAAAAACACTTCAATCTGCTTTTAGGCCCCATTCACACTTGTGAATGGGGTCATTAGCTCTTACATGAGGGAGGGGCAGGGGTTCCCAGTGATCAGCTGCAGAGGGAAGCCCCTTTGGAAGCAATGGAAGGCTGACAGCTACTGCAGCTAATTGTAGCCACAATCATGTAAATGGCTCATAGAGTGATTACCTGCCAGTGATTAACCCTGAACACAGACAACCTGCATCCAGGACTGATCATTCACAGGTAATAGCTGCTTAAGCAATTACATGCAAGTACCAGCAATAAGCTGCATTAGCTGTCAGCCTCCTATTGCTTTCAATACATCTTCTGCCTGCAGTTGATCAATAGAAACCCCCACTGTGTCTCTGCATGTAATTG